AAGTGCTGAGCCTTGACACATTTTAAATACATGTCTTCTAGCTTTTGCTACTTTGACATTGAACAGAAGACACATCAGTAAATATTATAGTACATTTTTTATCTCTTCTGAATATGGGGAAGAATGAAAAGTTTTGGAATAGCCTAGAGCAGATTTTTAAAAAAAATGTTCTTAATAGGTAATTTTTTTATTCTTCCAATATCTGAAGATATTGAAAACAAGAGTGAAATCTTTGTTAAAGGAATGAAAAGGAGCCGGAAATTGAGTTTTGCAAAGGTATTTCCACAATTCTGCAAGAGGCTATAGATAGAATTCAGGCTATATTCCTGAATCAGATTCCTATGAGTGCTCTGTGTTAGTTATATTTATGAATATTTTTCCAGCATCTGTGCAAAAATGCAATACTTGCTTTGTAATCATTTTAGTTCAGTAACAGTGGTCTTATCAATGAACATTTCTTTGTTCTCTGACATTTGCATCATGAATTGACGGGGGACATATTTTTTCATTTTCTTATTCAGATCTTTCATTTACTGCTTTTATAGTTCTTTTTTATCTGCAAAGCCCGACAGAGAAGGTACAAAAGGTTGTACCAAATTGTTTGAGTCTCCAGACCTCATAGTTAATTACAACATTCAGAAAGGACTTCAAAAAGAGACAGGGAGAGAAAACACATTAATTGGGACATAGTATCACAATTAATAAATTTCTAAAAACTACCATCAAAGTAGCTGCAGATACCAAAACACAATTAAAATTCTCTAGAAGATACGGTGAACTTTTTACTGAGCAGTGACATGAGGTGGTTAAGAGCTGGATGCAGAAAGAAGACTACCAGGTGTATGAGAATAAGCCTTTAGTATGTGTAGGGAGACAATCTCTTACCAGTACGGGTGTTTGTGCACAAAGGCAGTGGAGAGTTTATGGGACTTCTAAACAAAGTTACTCCATATTTATTTTTCATTGCTGAAAATATTCATCTTCCTGGTCCTCGGTAAAGAATGTTTGAAAAAGTTCAGTATTTGATTTAAATGCAGTGATTACCTTGGATACTATTACTACAAAATCATAACGTATGTTCGAGTTCTCAGAGAAGAATGCCAAGTTATTGTCTCTTCTCTGGGCCTTTATATTTCTATTTTCAAGTAAGTTTGGCACCCGATTTTAGTTTCTTATTCTTCCTTAGCATTCAAGTCATTGCTCCTCAAAGTATTTCATTGCTTTTCAGAAGTCAAACAAAAAGAAAATATATTGCCAAAGATTGCCATCTCTCTGCTAACATTTATGTTACTTTCCTCTAATTATTTCTCTATAGAGCTTTCCCAAGAATCACAGGGCATTGAAAGAAAACCCACAGCTCAAATGATGGAGAATTTACTTCATATGTACTCTCAGGCAGCCAAATGAGATTTTTGGCATTTCATCCAGACTTGTCTGGGATTAGTTTTTGTGTCCTCTTCATATTGTTTCCCATTAACACCCATATTAGTGACTTGCCATCCGTCATGTCACTGACTCCCTTGTGCTGCTTTGCTAAGATTCTACCTCATTAAAAAGTCATCACTTCATCTCTTGTTCTTGACTATAGGTCCCTCCCACTGCTTCTATCATTTGAAATTCCTTTCTTCTTCTTCGTATTGCCAGCCTCCTAGTAAATTGCATTGTTTCTGCATTAACTTCTGTCTGGTTCTATATGAATGTCAAGAACTGCGAAGGCTCTGAGTTTTTACTCTACTTACAAGCTAACAAGTTATCCTGACACAATTTATTGGATATTCATAGTGCTTTACATTGATCACTGTTGCTCTTACTATTCATTTAACTTGGGTCATTTCATTTGAGGTCAGTCACTGGGACAGGGCCTCAGATTCTGAGCTCCAAACAGAAAAGACGCATATGTCCCCTGGCATTTGGTATGCTTTGGTTTAACTTCCTTTCTTTTGGTTAATTTGGGGAGGAATGTAACATGTTAGTGTATTTTGTCTTCATAAATCAACCCCCTTCCTGGCACGAGGGTCGCCCCTCTTGCTGAAATATTTGCCATGTATTCCACTACTGCTAGGATGATTAATACAAGGGGCATATAATCAATAAATGCTCTTTTTCATCCTCCCTAAAACCACATCTGCAGTCCTTCTCTTTTCATCATTGTATTTGTAGGCACCTATATCGTTAATATATGAAGCTCAGGATACATATTATACCCCTTATTTTCTTCCTAGATAACCTACAACTTGGATTTCTGAATGTTGGGACACTAACTCCATTTCCTAAACATTGTCAAAAACTGCCATGGTAATAAACCCAACCCCAGGCTTTCTTGTCCATGGTGTATAACAAAGTGGCCTATGAATCTGACATCTAAATTGTTGTTTATGTTATCTAGTATCTCTTTCTTCCAGATGTTCTACTACTTCTCACAGTACCCCAGACTACCTCCAGCTTAGGGGTTGGGGCTGAGTGTAATAGGTACTATATTATGCCCTGTTTACAGAAGAGAAAAGGAAGGCACTGGAGGGTGGTTAACTTCTCTAAGGTCATAAAGTTAGTAATGAGAGTTGGACTTCAACCTATAGCTGTCTGCCTTGATGACTGTACTCATAACTGCTTCACGTGACGGCCTCTTCAAATTATTGGCATAGGAGAGTTATAGGTAGTAGATGTTGTTACAGATTCACATTAGGGATGATAGAATTAGAGTTTGAGGAGGAGTAAGTTTCAGCTGATTCTTGAAATAGGGGATAGGTTTGAATATGTGAAGAGTAGAGAGCATTTCAAGGAGGACAGAATGAGCAAAGGTCCAAAGATGAGACTAAAAAGAATATGTTTAGAGGATATTGAAGAGATTGACTAGGCTCTATAGAAGTATAAATAGCTAATTAACTTGATTAGTACTGAAGTTTATCCATTAGAACTTTATTGAAAAAAAAACAATTTTTTTTCTTCAAAGTTTTTAGATTAATTATGTTATTGAAAATACTTATCTAATTGATTGGGAACACTGATCCAGGTTTCAGATGGAAGTACATTAGTAAGGAGATAATAGAATAAAATTCTCAGTCTTAGACTTTTTCCTTAATCTGTTCATTTTGCTTCAGCTAGTTTTGCCCACACCAACATAATTTGGTTAGTTTAATTTGTGATGAAATTGGTCCAACAGGAGGAATTGGATGTATGTTGAAATTCTGCCAGATTTGGAAGAAAAATGTTATTTTAAGCATTCTGGTCATTTTTGGTAGAGTGTAGGTCTTACCATGAAGTTGTCATTGGCAACTTTTCAGACCACTAAACATGGCCTCCTTATTTACAAAAACCACACACACACACACACACACACACACACACACATACACACTCATGCACACACACCAAACACTAGAAATAATGTGAAAAAAAGTAACTCTGTCAAAGAAATGTCATGCTTACATAGCCTAGTGAAAATAAGAACGTTAACTGAGTTGAGAAAGTTTACTGATAACTTTCCTAATTTGGAGTTGAAGAAATCTTGAATTCTTCTCTGAGATTTGTAACTAATTTACCCCTCATACTTGAATTATGCATAAAGTAAATCACTCACCAATATATGTATATTCATGCATTTGATCTATTTACAGATTAGAAGAGATGGAAAGAGCAGGGAGATAAGCTGACCCCAAAGGTTAGGAACTGAAGAAGAGTGGGAGGTATGGATTTCTATGGGCACGGTCAAGTGGGAATTTCTTTGTGGAATCATTTGCTTTGACTTGTATGGATAAGCAGCTTGTGATGACATTAGGAATTTCAATTTCCTTTTCCAGACTAGAGAAGCAAATGCCTTTATAACATTCTATTTAAGACCTATTAAGACCCTGGATTTGCAGTTATTCAGTAACTTTAAAAAAAATCATCAAAAATGGCATTAAAGATTTATTTTTCTAAGCTACATTTTTATCAATATAATGCCATTTCATATAATGCCTTACCTCAGAAGTATACTCAGATGTATATGCCTTATATTCAGAAGTATAATTTATGCTAGATTTGGGGGGGACTTGTTAAACCTGGATTTGTAGCTATTTTGGAATTGGGGCTATTCCTAAACTGTGTACAAGGTTTTATTTTATCTGCAGTTGACTTTACTTGTTTTTCACACGCTCACAACAATTTGTGTTGATACTGTGTCAAACCATGTTGAAAATACTTTCTTGGTAAAATGAGTATAAACAATAGCAAAAACCAAATTCAAGCTGACCTTTAAATACATCTACATTTAAAGGCTAAAGCCAAGGACTTCAAAATATTTTCATCCAAAGAACTCTTTGAAATGTAGCTAAAGGAAAGTTCTTTTTCTAAATCTTAAAACTTAGGAAAGAGAGTCAAACTGTGATTGGTTTTAGCCCACTGATCAGGATGACTGTGTAAACTTTCTCATCTGGGATTATTGTTCATCCTTTCCTTAAAGTTTCAACTCTCCATGAATTCTTTCCTGGGAAGAGTATATTAGCTTATGATTCCAGCTCTAGCATAATTTTGTCTGACGTGAATAAGTGACCGCAGTAAACCATTTGAGCTTTAGACTTGTGCTGCTATATAAAGCGAGTATTCATGGTTTAACATGTTGCCATTTCCAGCATGCGATCTCAGTGCCATGTAGGTAAGAATAGGCCTTTAGAGGTTTCCAGTCCCAGAAAAATGGAATGGTATACAGGATTTCCCCCATTCTCCCCACCCCCCTCTATGGGAGTGTATAGTGTAGGAGGCTAGAAGATAAAGATTACTGGCAAGGACATTGAGAATATTAGCTTCCTAATTATGAGTGATGTATGGTTTTACATACTTGACTGTCTATATTTCCCGTGTTCAATAAATGGGGCAGCAAGTGAATTTGAACCCAAATTCATGTTTTTCCATCCTTACAAAATTGTCATGAACATTAATTAGGAAAAATAAAATAACATTCATTTTATTAAGAAAGCATTAAATCTTAGCTACTGATGTCTCTTCTCTTCTCTCCTTTATAGAATATGCATGTAACTGCTCTCTGGTGGGAAGCCTAGATGTGAATCGCTGCAACCAGACCACAGGGCAGTGTGAGTGTCTGCCACCTTATCAAGGGCTCCACTGTGACACCTGCAGGGAGGGCTTTTACCCGAATCACACTTCTGGGCTCTGTCTGCCATGTGACTGTAGTCCACACGGAGCCCTCAGCGCGCTCTGCAGCAGGTAAGCGGCAGAGGGTGGAGGTGAGGCTATTTTTTCAAGAAAGAGAAAAGGCTCTCGTTCTCAAGGACCAGAGTGGTTTAAATAAAGGGGGAAGGGAGGCATCGGTTTATAAAATATTTCATATACTTGTATCTCCTCACTTTGTGTACTTAATACCAAAATTAAAAAGCCTCTAATTTGCTGATCTAGTTCTTCAAAAGCACCTGGTCACCAATTTTGCTTTGTGATAATTTCTCTAAATTTCATGGAAAAAAATTATTGAGAAAGCAATCTCCTCTTGGAAGTGATAACTTCCTGGCATTTCCAGTGGAAATGTTCTTGTTGTTTATTCACATGCCATTGGATTTTCAGAAAACTTACTCTTTGCTTTATTTTGTCTCTTATCCAAATGCCAGAACTGTTTCTTTGCACATCTGAGGCTTAAAGTTGGTAATATCCTAATATCTCTAACTTTTGGGGAGAAGACTGGTTTCATCAACACAGTTTGGGGAACCAAAACTTGATTAAGTAGGAATTACCTGGAAATTACCTTTAAAATAGTACGTTATTTGGAGACTATTTAATATTGTAAAACAGTGTCCCACCATCTGAGGATTTGCCTTCTACCTCATTGAAAGTAATTATTCTTTGACATTGTATGAGGCACCTAGCTTTTTGTGAACCCCAAGTCAAAAAGCTGAAGAGACAGTGTTATGTGATGATAAAAACATAAGCTTTACAATTAGGCTAACTTGGGTATAGATCCAAGATCTTTTGCCACTTGGAGCTTTGTGCTTTCAGCAAGTTATTTCATTTTTCTGAGCCTCGCTTTCTCCTCAAGTTCATTGTGAAGGTTAAATGGATAAATGCACGTAAAATGCCTAGCACACATCACATAATACATTCTGGTTTGTTTTAATGTCAAAGGAATACTGTTGGCTTAAATGAAGGAATAGTTTTGAAGAACTTTTAGCTCTTTGGCAGAAGTCTCTTTATACAAGCAGTAGTTATCTTGGACGCTTTATAAATCATACTATACACGTGATATGCAATATTGTATCATATCATACCTCTATTAAAAATATGGATGTGAACTTGATTAAGAAGTTTATAATTTTAGGTGCCTGGGTGGCTCAATCGGTTAAGTGCCTGCCTTCAGCTCAGGTCATAATCCCTGGGTCCTGGGATTGAGTTCCGCATTGGGCTCCCTGCTGAGATGGGAGTCTGCTTCTCCCTCTCCTTCTGCCCCTGAACCCCACTCATGCTTTCTCTCTCTAGCTTGCTGTCTCTCAAATAAATAAATAAAATCGTAAAAAACAAAGAGAAGTTTATAATGCAACAATAATCAATGTTTATGATGATTGATATTTTTAGGGAGTTATTTGTTTTAATCTTTGGAACTCTTTTTACATGGGTTTTTAAATCACAGGGATACTAAGTGGCAGAGGAAGAAGTGTCAGTTAGGATTCTAAGCCCAGTGTCCCTATCACCATATTCTGCAGCTTCTATAATGAGAAAACTGATAATCATTCTGTTATTTGAGACTGAGAATATAGTAGTTGCTTATCATTGCTCCCTTTGCTCCCATAAAAACATGCCTGCACAAGTTATCCTTAGAAGGTTCAACTTTCTTACCATTTTACAAGATGAGATTTGGATAAGTTTGCTCATTCTAATATCTAATGGCATGACTACTGCTTCCTTTAGAATGCGATTCTACAAACACATTGTTTTTCTTGAGAACCTTGGAGTGATAAAACAGTGTTTACTTCTAGGCCAAACTGCTTTATTAGAGGAGAAAGAAATAAGGGGAGCATTGAGAAGGAGTTTTAAAAAGTTGGAGAGGAGGAAAAAACAGTATTTTTAAAATTCATGTAATATCTTGCTGTGTCCATTGATCTTTTACACATTATTTCTTTTTAAAAAATATTTATTTATTTTAGACACACAGAGAGAGGTGGCATGTGAGTGGGGGGAGTGGCAGGGGAAAGAATCTTCAGGCCACCTCTCTGCTGAGCATGGAGCCCTACAAGGGGCTCGGTCGATCCTACCACCCATGAGATTGTGACCTGAACTAAAACCAAGAGTTGGATGCTTAAGTGGCTGAGCCACCCAGGCAGCCCTATAAATTATTTCTGATTTTTTCCCCCAACAGTTAATGCCATTAAGTGACATAGGCTAAACACTGTTCTGAAAATAGGTCGTAACTAGAGAGTACTGGAAAAGTGCCTTGGACTAGTAACTCAAAGATCCAGGGCTGGGGTCAGTAAGCTACAGCGGTGAACCAAATCCGGCCCGCTGCTGCTTTTGTAAGTAAAGTGTCATTGGAAAGCAGGTGTACTCCCTTGTTTATATATCATCTGTGATGGCTTTTGTGCTGCCGTGGCAGAGTTGACTCATTGCAGCAGAGACTGTGTGGCCTGCAAACGTAACGTATTTACTGTCTGGGTCTTTAAGAAAAAGTTTGCCAAACCCTGGTTTAGGGTTCCAGTCCTAGTAGATATTGCCGGGTAACCATGTAGCTTTGGGAAAGTCACTTTACTTTTCGAAGGATTTATCTTTTAATTTGTACAGGGGTGGTTATAATTCATGTCCTGTTTCTCTCTTGTATAGAGTTGTTTTGTCTTAAGGATCAAACAAGAAAATTCACGTGTCAATTTTTACAACCCATACTTTCTAGACATATAATAAAAATAATAGTAGATGGGCGCCTGGGTGGCTCAGTGGGTTAAGCCTCTGCCTTCGGCTCAGGTCATGATCTCAGGGTCCTGGGATCGAGGCCCACATCGGGCTCTCTTCTCAGCGGGGAGCCTGCTTTCTCCTCTCTCTCTCTATGCCTGCCTCTCTGCATACTTGTGATCTCTCTCTCTCTCTGTTTCAAATAAATAAATAAAATCTTTAAAAAATAATAATAGTAGAAACCATTTTTTGAGCATATACTTTATGCTAGGTCACTTACATTCATTATCTCATTAATTTTCAAAAAACTCCCTTGAGGAGAGCACTGTCATTTTCCCACTTTGAATATGAGAATTTTGATGTTTAGGGGGTACAGTTAACTTACATAACTTACACACCAAAGCTACCATTCAATTCATTTGAACAAATGTAATAAGCAAGTGCTTATTCTGTGAAGCAGAATGACTTCGTACTTACACAATTGTTTTTCTTAGTAGAAAGGTTCTTGGTATTTAACACCCAAATACCCCAGAATGTTCTTATCTCTCAATTCAATGTGTTTTGGCTGATGGTTATATAAGAAAAATTTGTATTTATATCCCAGAAACTCAATAATGTCATATACAACATTTTAAACAAAATAACATGTGGGAAGTCTTGTATTAAATGCCAGATGTAACTGGGGTAATGTCAGAATGCCATGTAAACAATCTGTAAAGTGCACCACACGTCAACAAAGAGGATGTGCACATGTTACTGCATATTAGGCCCTTGGTGACAACCGTGGGAATTGCTTTGGATCAGGAAGGGACGTCATAGGCATTATATGTCTTAACATGGGAGTTTGCTGCTTATTTATAGGTGTTTTATTGTGTTTTAGTTACACTCTAGAAAGTTGGTTAGTAGTTTTTGGTTGATAGGTAATGGATTGTAATTATTTTCATTTGAAATATTGGAAAATGGGTTTTTTATTGGTGTTTCATGTAGAATACATGATTTTCAGTAATGGATGCTTGATGTTAAGCAGGAGGGAGAAGATACCTGTATTATTATTATTATTACTTGATCTATATGGACTGTTTTCTCTGTGTACCTGATGTACCTATCCTTAGTAGGTCTTTTTTTATGAATAATATGTAATTTTATAATATCTGCATGCAGTCAAAGTATGTTGATTTTTCACATCATTTTACCATCATCTTCTAATTGCCATCGGGAAGGACCTTGTTTCCCCTGCAGCCCTTAAAAGTGATGTCTGTTTTCTCTCTCTTGTTCCTCTTGTCTCAAGACCTGGAGTTGGGGGCGCCTGAGTGGCTCAGTGGATTGAGCCTCTGCCTTCAGCTCAGGTCATGGTCTCAGGGTCCTGGGATCGAGCCCCGCATTGGGCTCTCTGCTCAGCAGGGAGCCTGCTTCCCTTCCTCTCTCTCTGCCTGCCTCTCTACCTACTTGTGATCTCTCTCTGTCAAATAAATAAATAAAATCTTTAAAAAAAAAAAAAAGACCTGGAGTTGGAGTAGATAATCTTCCTTGCTCCTCATTGCTGCTTGCAGAGTGCTCTCCCTTCTCCCTTTCTAAAACCCTGTGTCTGAAGCTCTTAGCAGCAGAGCATGCTGTTCTACTCTGTGTTGCTGTTCCCCTACCAGGAACCACCCCTGATCTCTTATCCATGGCTCACTGTTGTCTCTCTGCCATGACATCTGTCAAAATCCTGGATGATTTCAGTACTATAGACGATCTCAATGCTTTGGCCTTTCAGTTTCTTGACCTCTCTTCCAATAAGCCTTCCTCCTTGCTCCCAATATCTTTATTTGTTTTACTTGCCCTATTTCTTGATTGTCTATGGCCCCAATTTAGGCATATTAATTTTTTGAGATAAATCCATAATCTTTTTCTATGGGTTACTACAGAGTAATATTTAATTTAAAAAATTTTAACAGTGGTATTTCAGAATGTCAGGCAATTTGTCAGAACAAATAGCATATCACTGAAGTCCTTTAAAAACCTGTAATCAAAGGAAGTCTTTAGAAAGAAGGTTTGGGAGTTCTAAATACAGCTGTAAACAGTGCCTTTCTCACTACCAGAAAGGAAGTTAAATTGACATAAGACCAGAAGAACAGAAATGGGAAGTTGCAGGACTATGTACTTTGGCAAGAACATGTGGGTGAACTATGAAGAAACACCTCTGTGTTCTGCTCTGCTATAAATTATATGAGTTAAGGAAAAAGGAAATTGTAGGCAAGTAGCGTATGTGTAGTAGAAAGGAAGTGGAATCTGAAATCAGTGACTTTGATTCTATTCTTATTTTAGCCCCCTACTAACTGTATAACCTTCATACTTATGGA